TCAAGCAGGCCCGGTTGGAGAAGAGGCGCCGTTATGAGAAGATTCTGGTGGAGTATGCTGCTTCGAAGGCTGTTGAACAGGTACTCTCAGGGAATCACTTCATCTTGGAGAATCCGGCCACATCGGCTGCCTGGCGATTGGTTGGACGACTTCGGCGATTGGTGGAGAAGGCAAAGGAGTTGGATCTTTACCATGTGCGAGTCGATCAGGGTGCCTTTGGCCTGAGAGGAGCTGGAGGAGGATTGCACTACAAGAGACGTCCTTCCTCACTTCATCCAAGGAGGTTGCAGCAGCTTTGGATGGTTTTCGATGTGCCCGGAACCACCCTCATGAGGCGATCATTGGAGGTGCAAAGGTGACTCGACTTGCAGGACACTATCCACCACTCCTTGCTGAGACCTTGCTCGAAGGCATCGAGCGTGAATGGTCCATGTTGGAGATCAATGTCATCGAGGAGCTTTCAGACGCCAACGGCGAAGGTGGCGATGATGATGCTGGCGATGGAGGCGAAGATGGACCTGGTGGACCTTCTGACGAACCTGGTGGTGGAGATGATGATGGGAACTTCATGCTGGACAACCCGGCGGACCAGGACGAGCAGATCGATGATGTGGCGGTGCCTGGAGATGGAAATCCAACGGCTCGAGATCGCAAGATGGCAAAGCATCTTCATGAGGTGACTGGCCATCGACCACCTCTTCGTTTGGCCCGTGCTCTGCTGATCACAGGAGCTGATCCAATGTTGATCAAAGCTGCCAAGGAGCACAAATGCGAGATCTGCCATGAGACCAAGCGGCCTGGAACCAGAAGGCCAGCAAGCCTACCTCGAGTCAGGAACTTCAATGACCACCTCTATGCTGACCTGATTGCCGTGCACGACAGCCATGATGAGATTTACTGGATTGCCCATGCCGTTGATGCCGCTTCCAGGTATCAAGTCGCTTAGGTACTGGAAGAGAAGAGCGGTCTGGAAGTCATCAAGTTCTTCCAGGAGTGTTGGTTCAACACGCTCGGCATCCCCTCGCAGATCACTACGGATCTTGGCAGAGAGTTCACGGCGGCGGTGGTGCAGCACACCATGGACATGCACGATGTGGTCTTGCACCATGTGCCGGTGGGTGCACCTTGGCAAAACGTAGCCGAGAGAGCGGGAGGTTCACTAAAGGCCGTTCTCCGAGCAACAATCCATGAGGCTGTAGCAGCTGGCATGGATGACATGCGAACCGCTCTGGCTTCAGCTCTGGAAGCCGTCAACAATGACGTGGATGGCACCGGGTTCTCTCCGAGCCAGATGGTGCTGGGACGTCAGCCTCGAGTTCTTGGAGAAGCTGGGCCCTCGGACCTTCGCACCCGACTTGCAGCTCACAGCATGGCCCTTGAGACACCTTCGTTCTCCAGGCTGGTGGCCATGCGAGAGGTTGCAAAGCTTGCCATGGTGAGACTTCACTACAGCAGAGCGTTGAGAGCAGCTTCAGTTGCACGAGCTCGTGACCAAGTCGGTTGGGATGGCTTCACTGTTGGTGATGTTGTGTATTTCTTCCGTGAACAGAAGCCTACGAGCAAGAAGATGAAGCTCGTGCAAAGGAGAAGGCTAGAGCTGAAGAAGTGGCATGGACCTGGAGTGCTTTTGGCCATTGAAGGCAAAGAGATGCCGAATGCTGCCTACGTCGCCTACGGAGGCAATGTGACCAAAGTGGCCATGGAGCATCTACGTCATGCAAGTTCTCTGGAACGTCTTGTCGCTTCGGACTGGGATGCCATCGTTGAGGATGTCATCAATGCAGTGGATGACCAACATCCTGATGAACAACAAGAAGGAGACGGAATTGGTGAGGAGAGCTATGAGCCAACAGAGCTGCCGGAGGAGCCCCCAGAAGTTCAGCCTGAGCTTCATGGAGAGACACCAACACCTGCGGTGGTTTATCCTTTCCCTTACCCAGCGATGATGCCCGCTTTGGTGCAAGCAGCACCATGCTCAAGCTACTCGTCGCTTCCTTCGAGATTGGCATCAAGGAGACAGTCCACTGAGCAGACAGCCCATATTGGCTGGTGTCGCAGAAGAGCCGAGTCGATTGCCTGAGCTACCTCGTGATGGACTTCTTAGTGGAGGCCCAGAACTTGGAGGTGGACTTCATGGTGATGACCTACGTCCTCTTCTACATCAACGAGCTGATGATGGTCGTGACCCTCAGGCCGGACAAGAGCTACCTGCTGAGAGTGGCAAGCCGCAAACTTCAACTCTCCCTCGACCTCATATTCTCCCTGAAGAGACGCCGGCTGAATATGGTCGCAGGCTTGAACAAGCTCAAGGAGCTGTGAGACGAGCTCTTTCTGAGCCAACAGACGACCGAGAGGCCGTTCCCAGAAGGTTGATGGAACCACTTCGACTTGGTGGCAAAGCAATAGATGTTCTTTCTGCAGAGCTGAGACACCCGTTGTTAGAGGCCGTCAACAAAGCCCAGGAAGACATAGAAAATGGCCATCATGGAGAAGATGATCACGGAAGCTGGGACGGAAGATGGTCTCGCCCAACAGAGCGACAGGTGAACACAGTTCACAAACTGCATCTGCAGTGGCCAGCCGGATCGAACAGCGACACTAGAGAAGCCCTAACTACTGCGGCTCAAGGTCGTGAACTTCGATGGTCAGAGATGAATGAAGAGACAAGACAAGAATTTCGTCTTGCAGCAGATGACCAGTGGAAGAAATGGCTGGAGAATGAAGCTGTGATGGTGTTAGGCCTTGATGAGTCCCGAGCGGTGGAACAAGAGCTGGAGAGAAAAGGTGAGCTTGAGAGGATCATGAATCCTAGATTCATCCTGGTGGACAAGAACGCCAAGCTCAGGTCTCCTGAATGCCCGCTCCCGCTGAAGGCCAATGCACGGATCATCGTTCCTGGATTTCGTGACCTTGCCAACCTCAATGGAGAGCTGAGAACAGATTCCCCAACGGCTTCAAGAATAGCCCAACATGTTGTTTGCTGTGTTTGTGCCGGTCACCCAGAATGGTGTCTTCTCAGCGCAGGTGTGCGCGCAGCGTTCCTGAAGGGCGACCCCTATGTGCAGAGGCAACTGTACATCAGAGGGACCAACCCGAAGCTCGCTCCGAGCATCGGAATCCCCACTGGGTGTGTGGCCAAGGTCCTCAAGGGCATTTTTTGGTCTTGCTGATGCACCTCGTGAGTGGTACCTTCGACTGGCCCGTGAACTTGGAGAAGACAACTGGATTCGGTCAAGTCTTGACCTGGCACTATGGCTCAAGTTCAATGAGAAGAACGAGCTCACAGGCATCTTAGCAGCCCACGTTGACGATCTGTTGATGTCTGGAGACAAAGATGCTGAAGCATCATTGGTTCGACTTGGTGAACGGATTGGCTTTGGTTCCATGGACTCCCTGCCATTCAGCTGGTGTGGAAAGACCTTCAATCGAGAAGCTGATGGCCGAGTGACCTTGACAATGACAAGGTACCATGAGAACCTAACTGGCATGCAGCTGACACGCCAGAGACGGAAGGACGTCTCGAGCTTGCTCAATGCCGCTGAGGTGAAGAAGCTGAAAGGAGTTCTAGGAGCCCTACAGTGGTTGGTGGCGCAACTTCGCTTCGACCTGTCCTTTGCGGTGAGCAGCTTGCAGTCTGAGCGAGCAACGGTTGGAACTGCACTTCGAGTGAACAAGGTGGTGGAAGAGGCAAACGCAATAAGGACTTCACCCTGCAGTTCAAGGCCGTGGACTACAAGCTTGGAGGCATCATGGTGGTGACCGATGCAGCTCTTGGCAATGTCAATGCCAGTGGATGCACTGAGGCCATGCCGGCCGAAAAGGTACATAGTCAATCTTGCTACGCGGTGCTCCTCGCCGATGAGCAGATGATGCTTGGAAAGCATGGACACTTCAACGTCCTAGACTTTCGCAGCCATCGGTTGCAAAGAGTCTGTCGCAGTTCCTACGCGGCAGAGACGCTGGGATGCGAGGAAGGGCTTGACGCGGCAGAGCTTTGCCGTGGCTTCATCGCCGAGCTCAGAGGCATTGAAGTCGCAAGCCGAACTGGACACATCAATGTCTGTCAGGTGAACCTCGTTGGAGTCACTGACGCGAAAGACGTCTATGACAGACTGTCCCAAGATGTTGGGTTTGGTGCGCAGAAGAGCCTCGCCTTCAGCCTAGCAGCTCTTCGACAACAACTTCGAAGGCCGGGAACCTCCATGAGATGGACGAGCACTGCGAACCTCTTCGTGGACAGTGGCACGAAGATGATGGACAATGGTGCACTGCGAGAAACCTTGCAGAAAGGAGAGTGGTCGATTGAGTACAACGAGAGCTTCACGAAGCAAAAGAAGAAAGGAGCCAAAGTGGCCGACATGGTGGATGACCTACCTGGTCGAGCAGTGGAGTCCAAAGACGAGGACTTGATGCGCCATGTCTACAAGCTGGCTGAGCAGAGTGGATGGCACTACGTGGAAGGTGTTGGGATTCACGTGGCACACAATGCCAAATCCCTGAGGAGTCCACAACCTCGATACTCCCTGCGGGATTTTCCCTACCGGAGTTCCTATGCCAGCTGGAGGGCAAAGACCGGAGATCTGGTGTGGCGAGTGTTGGAGCAGAAGAACGACATGAGAGACATGCCGAACTTGCAGGAGCAGTTCAAGGATCGTTGCCGCCAGTTGGTGACGTTCTACACCAGAGAGTCCTCGGGCCACTAAAATAGAGGGTGTGTGAAAAGGCAGTCATGACCCTCGGACTTGTTTCACTGTTGGTGCCGCAGGGCCCTTGAGCATTCTGGCTCCGTGCAAAACAGTCTGCGAGCGTTCTTTACCCCTTGTTTAGGTGTAGTTGAACCTCCGCTGTTTAACAGATATGTATTGGCACTACCGTGGTGAAGTGCAAAGCATGCCATCCGGCTCCTATGCCCTATCCAGAGAGTATGCACGTATATCATATTAAGTGTCATATTATATTACTATAGCTTTGGAACAAGCTCCAATCGCTTACCGTCGCAGGAGGTTTCAAAGAATGGGAAAGCCTTTGCCGAAGCGCCCCTGGAAGTCTTGAGAGACAAGGACCATTCAGATGAGAGACATGTACATCACCACACATCAGCATCTTCCAAAAAGGGTCCCCCTTGACTGGGAGGCTTTTTGCGTAGCAGGTGACTTGTTCGAGGGTATTTGTAGGACATAATGTATAATGCCCACATCTCGCCACCAAGCAGCTGGAAGTGTCCACAGGACACATGGAGTGAGCCTTCCGAGTCGGCCCCCGTTGAATGGAGTGAAGTCGGATGTGGGATGTGCACAGAAATGGCTGTACCAACGGTGCTGGGAGGTAAGGGGTCCCTATCCCTAGTGCTCCAGAGCAGCTCTGAGAAGGTATCTGGAAATTCATCTTTTGAGGAAGGGTTCGAACCAAAAGTTGTGTGAGGTTGGGTCTGGACTCCGGACACGTGCTGAGCAAGTGCTTTTTTGCTCACAAGTGTGGACGTTGTTTGGTATACACTTAAGGAGAAGCCACCAACCGGCCAACCATCTCATGTGGACCACATGGACTTACAAACCTACATGTTTTATCCACCAGACCTTCGAATCGATGAGCCATGGGCCTTGGAAGGGATGCGGCACTACGTGGTGCGCCCTGGGGTGTTGCTAGTGTTCTTGGGATTTTTGAACCATTAAACGAGCTAGATGATCTAGATTCTAGATTGCATGAGATACATGTACACGGATGGTTCAGGGGGGTGAGATGGTTGGACTTGTGACGTCGTCGTCTGCACAGCGGAGGAGATCGAGAACAAGCCGCCCCCGGTGGCAATCGAGACGGCTCAGGTACAGTGCTTTCGATTGTGCCACGCGTGCATGTATTTGATGGACCTCACTGCCCCACCTTTCAGGCCGCAAATGTGGCCATTGAGATGGCTCAGGGGCCTATATATATATATATATATCAGCACGAGCATTGCGCATGTACAGTGCGCATGTACACGTTGGGACTCACTTTGCAGGCTGCGGAACTCATCCATGACAGCCAAGTGCCCTTCGAGGCACCACTCCCTCCATCGAGAGGGGCCGCGATCAACGCCATGCCGTGCACTGACCGCTGGCGCCAGGAGTCAGCTCATGAGCAAGTCATGGCATGAGTCCCAACTTAAACCGTAAGCCACTTTATGCACAAGCAAAAAACATGCTGATCAATCACTAACATGCATTAGGCACCTGAGCCCTCTCAGTGACGTCACGATGTCCTCTGCTGCCTGAAAGGTGAGTCCCAAAAAAGACAGGACAAACATGTATTGCGTGCCATGCAAGTATATGCTGATCAATGCCATAGGCCATGCTCCGATCCTGTGGTGCGATGTTTAATTGCAGATTTGTCCACATCTGGTGTGATTTAACACGGCAAGACCCCCAGATGAGCACAGATCCCTGCTAGCAGCACTGCTAGCACCCAAAGAGTGTTGGATTACATGTAGGTTGGAACCCGAGCAACCTGATCAATCAATCCAAGACCAAAATCCTGGTGTGCTATGAATGTACATCCAAAGACATTACAGTGCCAACAAATGTTGTTGGCTTTTCTTCCACCCAATTCCCTTCACGCAATCAAAGAGTCGCAGCAACCGGCCATCCGTTCTGCCACCAGCTTGGAGAGGTAGAAACCATTGGCTTCGCCCATGGAGTGCCACCGGTGAAGTCCATTCCTTCCAATGCACACAGGGGTGTGGTGGGGGCAGTGGGTCAGGGGGAACCTGTCAAGCACAACGAAAGGGCCTTGCAATGGCCAGTGCGTGGTGCAAGGAAAGCACACCAACGCAAGACGAAGCTGTGGATACTATCTGGAGACCCAAGACGAGCGTGAGTCAAAGTACAAGATCACTATAGTCACTGATGGGCGAACAGCTGATCGCAGAGCAGCAATGTGGAGGTGAAGGCAAGTCAAATGGCCGTGTCAATCTTCCATGCGTGGAAGGGAAGATGGTGAACAATATGTTCAAGAGCATCCTCCCCAGCTGCTTGAAGATGGATGATGGGCAGCTTAGACACCTTCAATGCCAACTGAGCTGCCGTGTTTGGTGGTGAGCTCGTCGTTGGCGTGAGCACTTGTGGTGAGCACGTGAAAACGGCGGGCTGCTAAAAAAATTGGCAGGAACAAGTTGGTGGTTCAAAATCCCTTGGTGGAGGAACACCACATGTGAGATTGATGTTTGGCTACCAGTCTGTCCGCGTTAAATTCCTACTTTGCTGAGGGTGGGTCCGGACCCAAAACCTGCTCAGGCCTCAACCCCAAACACCTTCTAAGAAGGTATCCGGGAGCCCTTGGGTATATTTTCAGCTGCCAATTGTGCATGTTGTGCCAACAATCGAAGAAGGTCTTCGAAGTAAGCAAGGTCAAGCAACATATGCTTAATTTAGTTCATACGTCCTCCAGCCTGTGTGTTCCTTTCAGATCTTCAATCTTGAGGTTGGATGTGACGGCTAGAATTTGTCCAACGATTTACAGTGGCTTCACAGTAGATTGCACAATTTCCAGAAGGTGGTTTTTATGGACCCCCATCTAAAAGACATGTAGGGCGGGGTTTGTGAGTGGGTTTCCGGCATTTACTCTGAGATCTACGAAGTGTTTGCTGGGTCATATGTTTTTCGATCTACGACTGTATCCTCTGCAGTTATGACTGAAAAGTGAAACGCCTGCAGCTCTGAAAGTTTTTTGTGAAAACGTGTAGTCCTAGATCACAACAAGGATGCACCGATGTTTTCCTTTTTGTGGTCACTGTCCATTTGCCATGTACATGTCAGTGTTGTCCAAAATCTGACCACCAAACTAAAGCAAGGCAGGTGAACATCACCAGTTCTACAAATAGAACTCTGTAACCAAACCCACTGTCCTGCACAAACTCATTTAACTGGAGTTTCAGATCATTTTGGTTGTCCCATGTTGTCCCATTACAGCGAAGATGGACCATGTCGAACCCCTCCATTCATGGATTCCTGACTGGATCAGGCCCAGTTATGACCGTTATAGTGATTTTTTATAGTGGAACCGTCTCCGTGTTCCATTTGAGGAATTTGTAAAAAACGCACGCCCAGTCAGTGCGTGATCCCATTGGTTTCATTCGAGGCTAGGCTGGTCACCCGGATGCAGGAGACCATTTTTGAGGCCTTGCAGCAAGATTGGCGTTTGTTGCAGCAGCATGACCGGCGTCTAAGACCGGTACCGTCGGTCAACGCGGTTTCTGCGCGGGTACCGTCCTGAGGATAGGAACGGAGCCGGAAGTTCTGGGCCGGAACATGGGGAGAGGAGTCGGAGAAGGGGTCATTCTTTGGTTGAGGATGTGCAGATGAAAGAGCATAGTTATATTCAAAGGAAGGGTTTCCATTGCAGTTGCGATGAGTACCTTCCGTGATCAACTCAGCAAGGGTTCAAAAACATCCAAAAATTATCGATCACTCTTCAAAAATTATCACACTTCGAGAGAAGGCTCCACTCTTTAACTCTCTTTCTTATTCTTCATTTCCCCCCCCACACACACTCCATGTTTCAACCACCCCAGAGGTGCACCAATGCCACTGGTGGTGTAACAGGGTGCACCAATGCCCTTGAAGTTGGGGCTTTAGGATGGTCCCAACATCAACTGAGGTATGTCCCTGAAGATCTTCGGGAACAAATCGACATCATCGAGGCCAACGGTTTTTGAAAGAACACCTGTCAGGCGTGTTCACCCAGAAGATGACTCTATCAGTTGATGGAGTCTACCCTCCCTGAAACGGAAGTGGAAAACGTGGTGAAACCCCGTTGGTTAGTAGAGGAATGCAGTCTTCCAATGGAGCCATGTTCCACTTCCATGTTGGAGAGAGGGTGTCAGTTGATTCTGATGTTGACAGGTTGATATTTTCGCACCCCATGTGGATCCATACGGATATGTTTGACAATCCAGGTAGGGAGGCTCATTTATCAACAGTCAAGTGGTACGACACGAGTTGATTTGTTAGAGTAGGAGCCCAATGTAATGTACAATGTATATAATCAATATAAAAGAACGGACGATGAAGGCACTTCCTACGGATCATCGGTGGAAAAAGCCTTGCACGGTAAAGTCGTTTCGGAGACGCAGCATCTTCGTTTGAACCTGCTCGTTGCGCGCAGCATCTTCGATGGCCGTTACGAAGCGTGAAACGAATGGGTTAAACGATCCAGTTGCTTTTTGGTAATATTTCAAAGGCCACCCATAGTGGATGTTATGGGCCTAACAGTCAGTGGGCTTTTCTTAAAACCCCACCCTTCACGACCCGACCGTCAGCGATAGACGTAAAAGGAGCGAGCGAAAGGCGTGCGAAATGGGCGTCCCCCACCGGACGAGACGGAAACAGCAGACACTGTCACCCTTCCCTGGCGCAGCCAGTGATCTGTTTTGTCCAAGGATTTGAGTGATTGTTTGATTACCGCTAGCATCCGCTAGCGCTCCAAGTACCTGTTGAGCAGGTATTTGGACCCTCTAAACCCACCCCAGTCCCACCTTCTCAGAAGGCACTTGGAGCCAATAGGGTACAAGACCAGGTCCACCTTTTGTGTTTGACCCATCAGATGAGAAGAGACCCGGAGGCATCCGGGTCTCACATGTCGCTTCCCATCCCAGTCCGAGCTTCCCATCCTCGGGCACCCTGTGGGACTGCAAGATACTTACTACATGATATTTCATTAGGGTCATACATGCTGTAAATGTATGTAACTCTTCCATCATGTGTGTGTGCTTTGGGCATAATCGACCTGTAAAAGCGTAGCAGGTTGGTGGCTAAGCAGCCGGTTGGCGTTCTAGACCTCCGCCCATGGTGAGGTCGTTCTTGCCAGGGCCAGTGCTGGAGGAAAGTCACGTACCCCCCCTCTCACCCACAGCCCCACACACAAGCCTACACGCATGTCTCAGGAGGGCTCAAACAGCCTCCCCACAAGCCCACCGCACTTCTTGCGCTTCTTGCTACTAGTAGTACTGGTCTTGTAGAAAGTTGTCTGGATGATGCGTTTACAATGGGGTTAGATGCAAGATGGCAATATAACTGGAAGAGTGTCTGGTCAACAACATTGTTTGGATGCTGCGTTTACATGCAGGTTAGAGGGAAGGTGACCAAAAAAGGGATTTGAAGATTAATCGACGTGGGTAGGTGGATAGCAGTTTGTATAGCAGTTTTGACAAACATACTTCCGTAGAGCGTTCATTTTGTGTTTTAACATAAAACGGGTGACTTTTCGCGAGCCGGGTGACTTTTGACCAATGCTGCGTTTACATGCGGCCGGGTGACTTTCTGCAAACGCGGGTGACTAAACCCCGACGCTAGTAGCTTCTTGCTACTATAGACACCTGTCCTTGACACACCTCTTCGAGACTCTCCAGTTCTTTCCCTCCGCTCCTGTCGTTTTCGTGCTCCAGGCGGCGCTCCAGCAGGGCGGATCCGTCTCGCGCGTGGTCCCGGAGCACCGCCGCGGCGACGCACGCTTGGCACAAGCGGCGGCCACCCGACGACCCCAACAACCACGGGGGGGTGGAAGCTGGCCGTCGCGCGCGGGCGCGCGAGGATGCCGGCCTAGGGACGGAACTGGAGGAAGACTGGTGACTGGTGGAGTTGTATCGGAGTTGTTCGTGTTTTTTTTGCTGTTGTTTTTATTCTGGCTGGGCGTGTAGTTATTTGTCTCATTCATTTAAGAGGGAGCCAAGGAGTGTTGGTTTATAATTTATGATATATGGTTCATGGAGTTCTCCATCATCGCGTGCTACTCTGGGAAAGTGAAGGCTGATGTCGAGAACATTGTTCGCAGCTCGTGACCTTCACCAAGAAGACGCGTTTTCCGCGTCGCTAGTTGTGCTGTTGGTCATGTCACTACTGAACGCAGCTTCCGAAGCCGTCTTTTGGTGTTTTGGAGCGAAGCCCTGGGGTGGACGTCTAGATTTGCCAAACCAAGCCCGTCGCGAGGTGAAGTTGGACGGCTCTGCCTTGCGCTATTTTGATGCGGAGGTGATGGAAGACAAGGCAGGCGGGTTGTCCGCTACGGCACCTCCTGGAACTGCGATATGGCACTGTGCAAAGCTGGTTTAGGATCCACATAGCTCAGGTTCAGTACGACTGGACCCGTATACCTGAGGTTCGGCAGTGGATCCACCGTGGGACGCACGGGAGGGTGTCGATCTTTCTGTTGAAACGCTGGAGGATCCATGAGATCGATTCACTCCACCGATCAGTCACGCCCCATCTGACACGGTTTTTTCGGGAGGAATGACCCAGGCCGTCCTTATAGGAAGCAGGGACTGTATTTTCACTCCATGTAATATGTACACTTTCTACCTTGCACATAATAGGATGTCATGCTGACTTCGCAGCTCGCGGCCCAAAACAGGAGTTGCAGCTTAACGGCTGTTTCTATAGGTTATCAGCCGTAGTGCTCTAACCGCAGCCATGGACGCTCTTGCTATTCCTGGGAACGGCACATCATCGATAGCTGTCCCAGCCGGTCTCATGACTGAGCCCTTAGTGGATCTTGATGACCCCATGGGTTCAGCTCCTGTCACAGCTTACTTTCAGTTTGTGCAACAAAACATTCAACAAGTGTATAACGGAAATGAAGATGCTATTATAGCTGAGGCAGAGAGAAGGCACAAAGAGATAATGGGACAATGGTTGGAAATGGTGAAAACCAAGTTTCGTCAAGCAATCGATGAAGTAGCGAGCAAGCATCATGAGGAACTCAGTTCGGTAAGGCAGCAAGCTCAATCTAGCTACAACCAAGTGCAAGGGGAACTCAGCGCCGCAAAGGCGCGGATCCTAAAGCTAGAGAGTGAAAGGTCCATCGAGGCTGAAGCCAGAAAAGCAGAACTGGACTCCTTGCGCATCCAGCTCATGCACGATTGTCAGCAAACTGTCACTGCCATCACCAGCAGTGCCGAGCAAGGTGTGGCAACGCTTCGTGCAGAGTTTGATGAGCGGGAAACTCAGCTTCGACGTGAGCTACGCGACGCAGAAAATGAAAACTATAGCCTGCAGCAAATGCTCGATGACCTTAAAGCCAAAGTGCCTGCTGAACCCGAGCTAGAGTACCGTCCAACAAGTGTCATGAACACGCCAGTGTCTACCCCTAGGCATGATGACACTAGGAAGAAAAATCCTCTGGAGACCATTGCAGCAGAGGCTACTGCACGTTTGAGTGGCCTGTTCGCACCCAAAGCGCCGACGGCCACCATCATTGGTGATGCCCCACCAGGGGCAGCTGCTCCTATCAAGCCTGTGCTTCCAGTTCATGGAGGTACAGCAGCGGATGGGGGCAAAACACCAACACATATGTTCCATAGCCCTGCACCTTCAATTCGCGAACCCCATAAGCCAGCGTCATCAGGTGCTATCACCTCTGAGCAGGTGATCGAATTGGTCAAGTCACTCACTCAAAGAGAGTCAGATGAGAAGCCAAAGGTAAAGGAGGCAGATCACATCAAGTTGAATGATATGCCAACCCCCGAAACCTATCGGCAATGGAAACATCATGTGAGGGACGAAATCAAGTCATGTTCTGACAAACCAGATGCAGCCTGGGACTGGTTAATGGAGGTTTACAACACTGTCGATGAGAGGAAAGTTCTGGAAGAGCGGTTGTCTAACCCTGGGAAGTTCACAACGTTGGATACCAAGTTGGCAGCTGCGCTGACCAGAAGTGCAAAGGGTGATCTAGCAAACCGGATCATCAATTACAAAGAAGAGAAGGCAAAGCTAGGCATCCAGGTTCGAGGTAGGATGATTCTTCTCATGTTCGACGACTATCTCAAGACCTCAGAAGAAGCGGGTAGCCTTTACAGGGTTGAAGATCTCCTCAATGTGATAAAGGTAGGCGATACTGTAGCAGACTTGAAGCGTTTCATCAACCGCTGGGACGCTACCATCGCTGGTATGCCCGAACCACCGCACGAAAACGTGCTTCGAGACATCCTTTTGAGGCAGATCCGCACTAGCACAATCCTAAGGTACGACATTGACCTTTTCGATCGTGCAAAAGAGGGTGACCATCATCGGTCTTACAAGTTTCTACTGCAGAGCATCAAGGATCTGATAGATCGGGAACGCCTTCGTGAGAATCGATCACGTATCGCGGAGCGAAATCGGCTCAAGCCAGGTGATCGACATGAGAAGAACGCCGCCCCTACTGTTGATCCTCGGCGAAAGCGTTCGCCATCGCGCGGACGATCCACTACTCGGGAGAAGGGTGTTTGTTGGGCCTTTTTGGAGGGAAAGTGTGCAAAAGGGAAAGATTGCAAGTTCAAGCATGAAAAGCCCAAGCGTGATCCTTCCAAGAAGCGCCAACCATCCCGGGAGCGGAATGAGTCGAGGGACAAAAGCACAGATAAGGAGAAGAAGCGGATGACTAAGGAAGAGATGGCGAAGACCCCATGCAGGTACGATCAACAAGGTACTTGCAGAAGAGGAGACAAGTGCTTTTTCAAACATGGAGAAAAGGCAGCGCTGGCTCCGAAAACGAAGCCTAGAAAGGACTCCCCAAAGCCAAAGGCAAAAGGAGATACCAAGAAGGCTGCCATTTGCCTGAGCAATCGGTTTGCATGTCTTGCGACTGGTGTGCCCGGACGGCCATGTCTCGAGAAGCCCTGTCTTCCTTCATCAAGAAAGAGGTCTAAGTCGTCTGTCCGAAGAATCACATTCATCATGAAACCTGAAATTCGCACAATCCCTGCTCGCGGGGAACACTGCAAGATGGTTAAGCGTGAGCGCAAGTACAGTGTGCATTTTGCCACGAGCGATCGCGTGCCCAAAAGCGACCCAAAGGCAGCCCACATGGCCAAAGTAAAAGCTAGGCAGTTGGCTGAAGTTGTCCGAAGCTTTGATAGCGCAACAGTGCCCTCATGTCGTTTTCTGTGCACCGAGTCTTCGCTTACTTGTCGTGAGTGCCGAAGCTTGATCAAGTTGAAAACGTGTCCTACTACCATTCCAACTGTAGTTGCTGGTCCTGCACCAAGGGAAGGTAGGTTCTCGTGGCTCGTCGATTCCGGGAGTGAACAAGACCTCCTCAGCAGAAAAGTCATGGAAGCTGCTGGTGCGGAGAACCCAAGACGGGCTCCTCACACCATCAGTCTGATTACTGCAAATGGATCGACTGAAGCCAGCGAGGTAGCTGATGTCAAGATGAAGCAGCTACTTGAGCCTTGCACGCCGTATTTGCTGGATGAATGCCCTGCTGTGCTCTCAGTTGGCATCAAATGCCTTGACCAAGGGTATAGTTTCGTGTGGCCAGCAAACGGTACACCAATCCTTGTGCGACCAGATGAGAAAATCGTTCAACTTCGCGTCGACGGTCACGTCCCAGTCCTCGACTCCGAGTGCAAAGTCTTCGGGAAGGGCAAGTTCAAGAAGGACAAGCCTCTGAAGAAGCTGTTTGCAATGCCGGGAGCAATCTCGAGCCCGTCGGATAAGAAAGAGGATGAGGGCATCGACGAGGAAGTGCCAGACGACGAAGAGAGCCGTTTGGTGCGATCAAGAAAAGTCGGAGACTTAATGCGTGAAGCACAGTCCGCAAAACACCAGTATCACCACTTCCCCAAGAACCCATTCTGCAAAGTGTGTCAGCGAGCGAGAATGCTCGCACCACAGGCACGAAAGAAAGGGGGTGAGAGCCGCATCCAGACTAAGGCCTTTGGTGATCATTTGATCGCCGACCACGTCGTCGTGCGCGCGAACATCGAAGAAGGGAGTCGTGGTGAACGGGTAGCTTTGGTTGTGAAAGACCTGCATACAAAGTTCCGGAGTATTTACCCATCCCAGTCAAAGAGTTCGGATGAGGTAGTGATTGCTCTTCAGCATTTTGTTGCCCCGGATGATGCAGTCGAGGTCATTTACACCGACAATTCCCGTGAGCTGATAGCTGGCATCAAGGAGTTAGGGTATCGCCACCAAACCTCCGTTGAGTACGTGGACTCCTCCAAGAGCTTCATTGAAAGGGAAGTTAGGAACATGCTTGAGGGAGCACGCACCAATCTTGTTCAGTCCGGAATGCCCCTTCAGTACTGGCCACTCGCCATTCAGCATTTTGCAATGGCAACGAACACGAGTGATCAGCTGGACTCATCTCCAAGCCCATGGGAACTGCGCTTTGGAGAGATGTCTGAAGGCATGGCCATTCCGTTTGGTGCAAAAGTCCTATTCTGGAACAACCCCAATCGAGCCGACAATACAGCAGGAAAGCTGTCGCCCACTCCAGTGGAAGGTGTGTTTCTTGGTTACCATGTACAGCCAGGACACAAGTGGCGTGGGGAGTATCTAGTTGCTAAGTTGGAAGCACTAGACTACCATGTTGAACACAACAGTTTGACGATCCAGAGGACGAAGAAAATTGAGCTCCTTCCAGGCGGTTTTAGTTTTCCGTTGCGTGTCAAACAAGATCGTAAGGAAGCTATCCCTGATGACCCAAAGCTCAACCTCATTGAGTCTCCCAATCCGATTCCACTTGCTGATGCTGACCTTGCTGAGTATACTCCATCCGAAGCCCCAGAAGGTGAACCTGATCAGGGGGGTGAGGAACCTGAAATCGAAGTCACGGCAGCCGACAAAGCCGAGGACTACAAGCCCGACACTACGCCGGCAGGGGTCCCCATTCCTGAAGGTTACCATTGGGATGGTCTTCGAGTGGTAAAGACGTACAAAGGCAGCAAACGCCCCAAGGACATTCCATCGGATTATTGGAAAACGCTCGGCCCAAAAGATCGAGCAAAGTTGCTGAAAGAAATGGACGAAGCAAAGTCATCCTCCAGCAAAGGTCCAAAGACTACAAGTCCAGCGACTTCTTCTCAGCTCGGTTCATGCCGAAGCCCTTGTGCTACGGACACAAGTACCAGCTGGGAAGCCGTGCCCACACCGCAGATGAAGTTTGGGGCACCTGCAATGCCGCGGAAAGTGCTTGATCAACCTGAGCCGCATCGGCTTCCGATTCGGGAGCTTATCGCACAGCGCATCAAGCAAATCGAATTCCAAGTCGCATTCGA